TCTATTCATTTCTATTTAAATGTTACCCGAAAAATGATGTCTTTCGTTTCTAATCTTGCATGAACAAAAGACAATAGTTTTATAGATGTTGTATCTAGTCATATTGTTGCTTTGCCTATTTATTTTCTTTTATTTGAGAGAATGTTTTATTACTAAATGCATATAAAGTTCTTACAATTCAAATCGATTCACTATTTGACTAAGAATGTAGTGGCTTGTTAGCATGATTAAAAGTTTAATGTTCATTACAGCTAGTGAAAACTTAGTCCAAGAAGAGTGGTGATTTGAGGTTTTTAATTATGATTATGCTATTGAAGAGGGAAATTGTGGAGCCTATAATATTCACATGCAAAGGACACACTGCTTTGGGAAGAAATTGATTTGCTGCTTTGATAATCATAAGAGTTACGTGTAGTTTATACTTACTTGAAACTTTATAAAATGAACAGGCACAAACTGCATCAGTAGCAGAAATATGGCTTTGGGAAGTTGGTTCGTGGAAGGCAGTTGGTCGTCTGCAATCGCACAGCTTAACAATAACACAAATGGAGTTTTCCCGTGATGACAGCATGCTGTTGGCAGTCTCAAGGGATCGCCAGTTTTCTGTTTTTAAAATCCAGAGAACAGGTACCTCTGACCTACTTACAACATGTAAAGATCTATACTCTTTTTGTTAACGTTGCAAATCTCTGATCTTGAGAATGACTGTCTTGAAGCAAATAACAGTTTCTTTCGGTCTGAGATAATTGCATAGACATTTTGACTATGGGAGACGAGTAAGCTAGCCCTCTATGGTTTAATGCTCTAAGATACCCCCTCACACTCTGAAATGATTTGATCCGTCACTCTCTGTAACGGCCCAAGCCCACCGCTAGTGGATATTGCCCTCTTTGGGCTTTCCCTTTCGGGCTTTCCCTTTCGGGCTTCCCCTCAAGGTTTTTAAAACACACCTATGCTAGGGGGAGGTTTCCACGCCCTTATAAAGAAGGCTTCGTTCTCCTCCCCAACCTATGTGGGATCTCAAAATCCACCCCCTTCAGGGCCCCGCGTTCTCGCTGGCACTCGTTCCCTTCTTCAATCGATGTAGGACTTCACAATCCACTCCTTTTGGGGCCTAGCGTCCTTGTTGGCATACCGCCTCGTGTCTACCCCCTTCAAGGCTCAGTCTCTCGCTGGCACATCGCCCGGTCTCTGGTTTTGATACCCTCTGTTATGGCTCAAACCCACCACCACCTCGTGTCTACCCCCTTCAAGGCTCAGTCTCTCGCTGGCACATCGCTCAGTCTCTGGCTTTGACATCATCTGTTATGGCTCAAACCCACCACTAGCATATATTGTCCTCTTTGGGCTTCCCCTCAAAGTTTTGAAAACGCGTCTCCGGAGATTAAAACACCCTTATAAAGATGGCTTTGTTCTCCTCCCCAACTGATGTGGGATCTCAAACTCTGTCTAGGAAACTAATAGTATTTTAGATAAGGACAGGAATACGAGGATGAAAATCCCTATTAGCCAAAGGGATTTACTATCACTTGGTGTGAATAAGTGCATATTTTAGTTACCAAATAATTGGGCTGCAGGAACATCTGACCAAACCAGGAAAACACATCCAAGGGATAGAGCATCTGAAAATCCTTCAGCTCTTCTCCAACCTAGGCTTCCTAAATAGGGTAAAAATGGCACCAATCCGAGTGCGTTGGCTCCTCCCTTCATAAAGATGGTATCATAAAATTTACCACACCCTTCCGACTTCCACCTTTTAGAACCCAATCTATGGTTCATAGAAACTCCTTCCATCTTATAAACCCATAATTACTAATGGGAAAAACCATCTGGTTTTGGGTGCAAATTTTCTGTCACTCCGTAGGAAAAATCCCTCTAATCTGAGGGTTTCCTCAAGTTAGCTCCCTCCTCCCTCAAATGGAGGATCCCTTTAATTTAGTCGTGTGATTATGTGGGATCCGATGTAATAGGAAATGTATTTTCCCCGGAAATTTGTCTGTGCACTCCATGATAACTTTAATTTGTTATGACTATTGGCTGTGAATATTATTTCTCTCAAACAACACAGTATTTTGTTTTTTAATATAATTATATGGTGAATCCGTTCAGGCTCTGACGAAATCCACCATGAGCTTATATCAAGGCAGGAGGCACACAGAAGAATCATATGGTCATGTTCTTGGAATCCATTTGGTCATGAGTTCGCAACAGGCTCTAGGGATAAGACTGTGAAGTTATGGACTGCGACACCTGATTATTCTTCAGTGAAGCAACTAGCAACTTTGTCACAGTTCAAATCTAGCGTCACCGCCTTATCGTGGGTCGGTCTTGATCCTGAGAGCAATGGACTCCTTGCAGTTGGAATGGAAAATGGCCTCCTTGAGCTGTGGAGTTTATCTATCAAAAGAACCGAAGGAGTTAGCTCAAATGTGGTTGCTTCAGTCGTAAAACGTCTCGATCCATTTGTGTGCCACGTTTCCTCGGTCAACCGTTTGTCATGGAGGGAACCAGAGGAGGAGATCGAAGAGTGCAGGAAGCTGCAGCTTGCTTCCTGTGGAGCTGACCACTGTGTTAGAGTGTTTGAGGTAAAAGTTTCTGTATGAAAATGGATGTATTTTTGTATTATAGGATGAAATATTGCTTGTTTCTGTACATTATGGTCCCTTTCAATTTTGCCCCCGACAGAAAGTAGCTCTTTCAGAACTCATTTCATAAGCTCAAATATACTTCTTTTTTCACGGTTGTATTTTTGGCTATTGATCCATATATTTACTTCCATTTCTGAACTTTTTTTTTTTTTTGGAGGAAATAATTATCATTCAATCACTTCACTTCTAACAAGTATCGTTGTCATGCTCCATGATATGTCATTTCCGTTACTTGAAATAAAAAGGGTTTTGAAAATATGTGTAAAGAAATGTATTCACGAGCAACCTCTATCGCTACTCGAGTTAAATATGCATGCATACACAACAAAATTGTATAGCAAATCAAGGGACTTAAAATTATTCAAATTTGGATCAATTCCTTAAAGTAGTTCGTCTAACTTGGGTTAGGGGTGAAAGACTAATCGAACCGTCTAGTAGCTGGTTCCCTTCAAAGTTTTCCTCAGGATAGCTGGAGCTCGCGAGCGAGTTTTATCAGGTAAAGCCAAATGATTAGAGGCATCGTGGATGCAATGTCCTCGATCTATTCTCAAACTTATAGGTAGGACGACATGGCTGCTTTGTTGAGCCATGTCACAGAATCGAGAGGTCCATGTGTCATTTTTTGTAAGCAAAATTGGCAATGCGAGATGAATTGAAAGCCAGTTACGGTGCCTAACTACGCGTTAACCTAGTTCCCACAAAGGGTGTTGGTTGATTAAGACAGCAAGATGGTGGTCATGGAAGTCGAAATCTACTGAGGTGTAACAACTCACCTGTTGAATCAACAAGCCACAAAAATGGATGATACTGAAGCATCCGAACTATACTCGGTCGTCAAGGCAAGTGCTAGGTCCTGGGCGGAACGGCCATTGGTGCAGATCTCGATGGTCGTAGCAAATATTCAAATGAGAACTTTGAAGGCCGATGAGGGGAAAGGTTCCATGTGAACGACACTTGCACGTGGGTTAGTTGATCCTAAGAGATGGGGGAAGCTCATCTAATAGCGCAATAACGCGAGCTTTGAAAGAGAATCGAATTAAAATTCTTAAACCGGGATGTGGCGACTGACCACAACGTTAGGGAGTCCAGAGACATCGGCGGAAGCCTCGGAAAGAGCTATCTTTTCTATTTAACAGTCTGCCCACCCTAAAAACAGCTCAGCTGGAGGTAGGGTCCAGCGGTTAGAAGAGTACCGCATGTTGCGTGCTGTCCGGTGTGCCCCTGACGACCCTTAACAATCTGGAGGACCGAGTGCCTACCACACCCGGTCATACTCATAATCCCATCAAGTCTCCAAGGAGAACAACCTCTAGTCGATGGAATAATGTAGGCAAGGGAAGTCGGAAAAATGGATCCATAACCTCGAGAAAATGATTGGCTTTGAGGGCTGGGCACGAGGGTCCCAGTCCCAAAATCGCCAGCTGTTGGTAGATTGCTCGAGCTGCTCCCGCGACGAGAGCGGGTCACTGTGTGCTAGCCGGGGGAGGGACTAGGAACGGCTCCTTCAGGGGCCTTCCCCAGGCATCGAACAATCAACTCAGAACTGATACAGACAAAGAGAAAGCCCAAATAGGACAATATCTGCTAGTTATGGGCTTGGGCCATTATAAACGTATCAGAGCCAGACATCGAGCGGTGTGCCAGCAAGAACACGGCCCCCAAAGAGGGTGGATTGTGAGATCTCACATCAGTTAGAGAGAGAAACGAAGCATTCCTTATAAGGTGTGGGAACCTCTCCCTAGCAGACACGTTTTAAAAACGTTGAGATGAACCCCGAAAGAAAAAACCCAAAGAGGACAATATCTGCCAGTGATGAGCTTGGATCGTTACAGCATAACTACAATAAAGATAAATACTTAAAATCAATCGAAACTAAAAATTCAAAACGCAACCAAATTGAGTTGGAAGCATGATGCACAAAATAATTCACAACTTTGTAAGCCTCTAAGAATCAAGGATTAAAATATTCATTTCAATATCGATATCAAAATTTCAATTTTATTGATATATTGATAAAATATCATTTTCAACATATATATTTTCATAAATCAAAAAATTTAATAAAAATCACTTAAATTAATAATTACATTTACCGATAAGGGTGTGATTCAAACCTCAAATTCCTTAGTCGAGAGAGCATATCTTAACGAATCCAGTTATGCTTCGGCGAACCTTCAAACTAAGTTATAAATAATATTTTCTTTCATGTTTTATGAGAATTTAAAAAAGACATCATAAATATCATTTAATCTTCGATATATCGATATACCGAACGATATTTTCATCCTAACCAAACATTCGTTCGCACGCTATTTCTAAACCTTGGCAACAAGTGGCTATAGTCGGGACGAATGATCTAAGCATGTGTTTGATTAATTCAAGTTCGACCTTTGTATCAATGAATAGCCATAATGAAATGCAAATGCAAGAGTCTTTACCAGCCGCCAAAGGAGCATTTTCCAACGAGGTTGGCTTGGCCAATCGCAAAGAAGAAACCAAGTCCTCCAAGAATTGATAGACCAACCAATGATGATCGGTGCTTTAAATGAGTCTAACATTGAGGCAAAGTCATGTCTGCGCACACATTAATTAATTCCCCTTTGAATAATGCTTTTCCTGCGTGGATCCTGCATTGCAAACATTGAATATTATATCATCAGAGATAAGGACTGAAAGGGAAGGGACCCCTTACATTTCAAAAGTCAGATTTATATCACCATTCATCATTGGTGGCTTTGAGTTCAAATTTCATCATATGCATCTGAGTTGAAATTCGATTAGGCCCTTGATCGAGTTTGAGCATCGTTTCACCGATTAGCTGAAATCCGAGTCATAAATCCTGCAAACTGTCTCCATCTGCAAAAACAAAAAACAAACCTCGTACATAATGTAAGAAAAGTTTCACAAAAAACTAAACCTGACATTTGTATATATTATATGACAATCCGGAAAGGAATCCAAGCACTGAAACAGCAGATAATCACATGAAATTTATAGTATGCAACAACAGATAGCACATGAATGATTAGGATTTCAAGATGAGAATAGTTTTAAAGATGTAGTTGATGCCTGTCAAATTCTCACCTGAGTACCTGATAATCTCAGTAAAAGCAAAGGGCTTCAGTCCAAGAATAATTTCAAACAAGATCTTGACCAAAAAATCAAGTTTCATTGGATTCTGATGTCATTTTAATGAAAACAAAAAAGAACAAAGAGCAATAGCTATGAGATGTATCAAGTAAGAATATGTGAATTAATTGGATACCATACTTTACAGCTTGCGAGTGCCAACAGGTGCCTGACACAGTGTCTGAAGAAGGAAAGAACTGGTTTGGGAAGGAAGTTGAACAGCTTTCGGAGAACATAAAAAGCAGCTTCCCACCAACTTTACCACAAAAGCATGGAAAATATCGATGGGAACAAGCCGGTAGTAAACACCCTTCTAAACAGGATTATACATCAGCCTAATGAACATGAACCAAAGCCGATACGAAGGATTCATGCAACTCAGCTGGACGCATACCTCTCTAAAAAGAAAATGTAACAGTGAATCAAAGCCGATACGAAGGATTCATGCAACTCAGCTGGACGCATACCTCTCTAAAAAGAAAATGTAACAGTTTAAGCTCACCGCTATCAGATATTGTCCTCTTTGAGCTTACCCTTCTCCCCTTCGAGAGGGGATCTCACAGAAAACCTCCAATTTTAACTTGTTCCACCCTCAGTAAAGCAGATGCAAAACTATCGGCAACAATGAATCTATGAACACAAACAGAGTATAATAAAAGTTTTCAGACAGAAGAAATGTCGAGGTGAAGGGACTATCTGCCAGGAAAGGATCAACTTTTGTTGAAGCTAACTGATGGATGCTATGAGCAATTGAGTGGCAGAAAGAGCCTTTACATAGCGAAATACTTGTACAGCAATTAGAAATTAAACAAAACAACCATATATGATATCAGCAGAAATTGTAAAGGCAAGGAGAACAGGAGATTTATGCAAAAACTTGCTAATTCTATAACACATATTGACTGCACAAACACACGATGTTTAAGTTCAGAACTTTTACAGTATAACTATAATCTCCAGACCACTTTTTCATTCTCTATGACAATAAACAAATAATATGGCACACGAACCAAAAGACAACAACAATTACTTATTAAATCTACCTCAGATACATGCACAAACCAATAGATACCAATCACAAGACAGACAATAAAATATAAATTTGTAAACAAAACCAAATACTTTATTCCAAAATTGTTTCTTCTTTCTGAACAGGCTATAATGGTTGAGAAGTTCTCATCTGCTGCTTCATGTTGTCAGTGGGAAGCTGAGCAGAATTTTCAGGCAGCATTACAGCAGGTGCGGGCATGGCTTGGTACTGAGAAGGTGGTGCTAGAGGCTGAGTATAATATATCTGGGAATGAGCAGGCTCTGGAAATTCGTAGGCATAGTTTGCAGGAGCAGATGTAGGTGTGACCGATTGGGATGGATGCTGAATATGAGAGTAACCCTGGTTGTAGCCAACGTATTGTTGTTGATGCTGACTTGTGGGAACCTGAACTAAAGATTGAGCAGGTGTAGTTGTCTGTTTGTACGCATTGGCAACCACTTCGGTTTTCGCAATAGGAGCATTCCTCATGGGGTTGAAAGCTGCAGTTGTAACCCGAGTTGGATTGGTAGGGGTTTGGGGCTGGCCAGGAGGAATAGCTGCAACAGCCTCGCTCATGGTAGATTGCTGTACAGGCAAATTGCCATAAGCTTGGGCCTGTCTAGCAGGCAGGTAGTAGACAGGATATTGGTGCTCCATCCGATGGGGAAGATGGGGGTGCTGAGGAGAATATACAGGGAAAAATGCTGGCATGGGCATTGCGCCAGATGGGTGCTGCTGGATGTAGTGAGCGCCCGCATGTATGAATTGCTGTGGTTGAGGTGGGTGTTGTTGCTGTTGCTGAAGTTGTTGCTGAAGTTGTTGCTGAAGTTGATGCTGATCATAATGAGATTGTAACACATACCCTGCTTCTTGGACCTGTTGTGGAATATGAACCCGAGTGTTCTGTTCAGAAATATTGGCTTTTGGATCTGCGGGACTACCAGGAATCCTAACGGCAGAAGAGGGGATTTGATGAACTTGTTCTTGATACATCACAGGTACTGAGCGAGACATCGGATTGTTTATACTACTATCACTGAAGAACCAAAACGTGACAGAAAATGCACCGAATCAGACTAACAATCAATAACTCCTCCAGAATTAGTAATACCAAAATGATAACAAAAGTAAGGCAGAATTAGTAATACCAAAATGATCAAGAAAATCATTCAATTGGTACCTTGACATTGAGTCCGGGGAAGGTATATCAACAAGTCCACTTGATTTCTGCTGCAATTGGGGGATAAGGGATTGTGGTTGAGGTGGCAGTGGTTTCCGGTAACCAACTGGCACCCCGTGGTCCGATCTCTCGTCATCGGAGATCGCCCGATTCGAATATTCTCCTACACCAACTCCAACAGCTGCGCTCACAGGAATTGCAGAGCCTGCCGCCGTAGCCACAATAGTTGTAGGCAAAGGAGGCGGCGAAGAGAGTACTGCGAAAACTTCCTCTTGCTGCTTTTGCCCAACACCACCAACACTCATCTGCGAAAATTGCTCCTCAATTCCCACCTTCTGATCTTGGACTCGGACTGCACCAACACCACCGCCACCGCTATTGCCGGTATCCTCCAAATGAACTCGAATCGGCGGCAAATTCGCCAAAGAAGGCGAAGACGAGGTGGAACCAAAAGACGAAGTTGTCTCGATCATCGGCGAATCAGGAACAGAATGAACATCCTGTTTTCCACCCTTGCCATTTCCAAACGAACCAGGCTGAGAACCCTCCGCCTCTCTTGTACCCGAATCGAGGTTGTTAACACCAACATCATCATCAAGCCCTAACAAGCAATTGACCGATGCAGTGTCCGAAAAACCTCGATTAAGCAAACCGGCACCATTCAAAGCATTCAAAAACCAGTCATCAGAGCTAGTAGAGCTCTCAAGAATTGGGCCAATTGACTGAGAAACATCCGGCTGAATCGGGAACAAAAACAACCTAAGTCGCGAGGGTTTTGCGGCAGAATTGGAAGAATTACTCGCCGTCCGATCATACTCATCAATCATATTCTCCAAATCCTCATCAGTGGTAACAGAAATCAGAGAATCCAAATCCTCATTCGGAAGCTGATATTTCAAGGTAAACGGCCTACCATTGAGAAGCGTCTTCGACAAACGAGCAGTCAGGTCAGATAAAGAGGTATGACGGTCGACAACCACGATCCGTGTCTCACCAGAAACATAACACAGAGTCTTATCGTGAGGACGAGGAACTATATGGCCGCCATAGCTGCACATAAAGCGAAGCCGACTGGCGAGTGCGGCGGGGGCGAGAGGCTCATCCCACGTATCAGCGTTGCGAGACCTCGGAGAGGAGTCCACCGACTCCGGATAGTTCAGATGAGGCGCTACCGCCGACGGAAGCGGCTGAGTTGGCGGTGGAGGCAGCGGTTCCGTCATGGCGAGCGGCGGAGTTGGAATTTTGGAGCACAATGCTAAGAAGAGAGAATGGGAAACCCAAGCTTTTGGTCTTCCTTAAAGAACACGGAGGACAGTAATTAAAAATAATAATAAATAAATAAAATAATCATTTAACGCATTTTCCTGAAAATCCGATTGTGGTACAATTAAAATATCGAACAAATTAGGGAAAAAAAGGTAAATATAGCTAAAATCAAGGGCTGGTTTGGGAGTTACAGTTCTAATATTTTCCACAATTATTTGGGCACTTAGTGCAATTCCTTATAAATGTAGGGACCAATTATGCAAATATTTGAGCAAAGTTTTTTTTTTTTTTTTTTACGGTGGTAAAAATAACTAAATAAACCGGGTCGGGTCGGGTCGGGTCGAAGTGGGATGACAGCTAAGCACACTGATTGGTTCCAGTTGGGGTTGCATGGGATGGTGTGTGGGCTGTAGCTGTTTGCTGAATCATCATTTTTTTTATTTATTTTCTGAATTTTTGCTTTTATTTTCCTTTTTAAATATATTATTTCTTTATTTCTCTTTATATTTTTTTCCACAATAAATTCCACGTGGAAATGGTTGATTGGGATAAATGTATTTTCTTCCCTTAATTTCTTTTTATTTCTCGAAAATACAAACTTTTAGGTCGATAATTTCTCGCTCTAATTCTTTAAGACGGCTACAGATTGATGCTACGTCCGTTACTTTGATGCCTAAGAACAACGGTCCATAAGGGTTTACGAATTTTAAGATAATGTTAGGAATTAGCTCGTGATTCTCAAATAGAGAAGAGGTACATGAATGAAACGAGACTACTTCAATTGAGAGGGATCTCGGCAACTACTTATTTACCAACTATGTGTCTCTCATTTTTTGGTAGCTCAATCATAAAAACTTTAAAATTAAGCGTAATTTTATATTAAATAATCTCGTATAAATTTTTTATATATAAAGTTTAAATTAATTAAAATAATAATTTAGCTCCAATTCAATTAATTAATATATTTTATTTATAAGGTATTTCGTTATGAATTTTAATTATATAACTCCCTTGGCGGAAATTCCAATAAAATAAAAACCAAACGCAGTCTCGGCCGCAATCTGGTGGCGCCGGAATCTTCAAATTAAAATATTAAATTAAAGGACGAAACGAATAAAAGCATAAACCCACACGCAGCACATGAGCATGAATCCACGCGCCGATATTGGTCACACGTTTTTTCCAAAACTCCCATCACAAGCGCGTATAGAAAGATAGCGCGTGGATTCCATAATGCTGTGTTTTGCCAACTGCCAAGCCAATGTTACATTACTTAATTAAGCCTTTTTCTTTTTGCCACTTTATTTAGAAAACTGTAAAAATGGAGATTCTGGCGAAGAATGGAATCAGGTGGTTTCTGGTGTACGATCTTTTCGGTGTGACTGACCTGGCCTTGCGCCACGTCATACCTTGGAATTTCAAATCTGCCACCGGCTAGTCAAAGGTACTCAAATGATTCCCGAACCAACATAGACTACCTAACCCAAATTAAAACTAAGAGTTGGGTCGAGTTAAATTTCTTTCGATGTGGGTTGGGTTCAAATTTTCAAAAATTGAAACTTTGAGTTGGTTTAGTGGTTGACATTTTTTGGTCGGGTCAACTCAACCAACCCAGGATTCCAGTCCATCTCTATGCTACTCTACCCTAAGAGTTTGTAACGTTAGTGATACGTTATGACTTGTGCATATTTGATATTAATAATAATTTAAAAAAAAAAAAAAAAAAAAAAAAAAAAAACTCAACAACCAGGTTTCAGTTGAGTTGGGTCGTGAGCTATTACTCGGGTCACCAACCCAACCAACCCGAAATTTTGGTTGTTCCAAAAGATTTTTCAAACCCAACATACCTACACCCTATAACTACCTAATTTTTACCTAAATTCTTTCTAATTATTTTAATGGTAGTGTTTTTTTTTTCCTCAATATTTT